TCCAGATCGCGCACCGCGCAGTTCACATCCAGGTACAGCGGCTCTCCGTACGCGTTCTCCTCGCGCACCTTGTCCAGCACGCAGATCTGCTTCACCGTCTTCGGCAGCGCAGCAGCGAAGTGCTTCAGCGAGAACGGGCGCCACAGATGCACCTTCATCACGCCCACCTTCTCGCCGTGCTGGTTCAGATACTCCACCGTCTCCTCCGCGGTCTGCGCCGAGGCGCCCATCAGCACCATCACGTTCTCGGCATCGGGAGCGCCCACATAGTCGAACAGATGGTACTGACGACCCGTGATGCTCGCCACCTGGTCCATCGCCGCCTGCACCTTGTCCGGCACAGCGTCGTAGTAGGGCTGGTGCGTCTGCAGGGTCTGCATCCACACGTCGTCTCCGTAGGCCACACCGATGGAGTACGGGTGAACAGGGTTCACGCCGCGGTTCTTGTGCTCCAGAGCCTTCTCGAAGGGGAAGATCGACTTGATGTCCTCAGGGGAGATCAGCTCGATCGAAGACATTTCGTGGGAGGTGCGGAAACCATCGAAGAAATGAAGGAAGGGGATGCTGCTGTTGATGCTGTGGGTGAGACACCGAACGCATGCCGTACGCGGAGAGGTGAGAAACCAAGGCCAAATCGTGAGCTTCCTGAACGGAGTGCGACGAAAGATACGCAAATCCGGTCTAGGGATCAGCAAACAGCGCCATCACGTACAGCGCGAGTCTGGAACACATCGCCGTAATCGCAGTACAGGCAAGTTGTCATCTTGGAAACCGAACGGCTGGAGACGTGGATAACTCCAGGAAGCAGCTCACCCGAGATCTTGTGCATGCTAGGAACCATCAGCATCAAACCTTGCGAGGATGAGAAGGTTGTGCCAAGCAAACCTCCCGTCAGAGTGCCATGGAGAGCACCTGCGGCTCCGGCCTCGGACTATACTTCATTGAGCCAGAAAAACCATTTACCTGCATCTCCGTGATCACCACCTTCTGTCCAAAGACATTCTTTAATCCTTTGTTCGCCCAAGCATCACAATGCTCACCCATACCAGAAGATGGCGTAATGGGGAAAAGCATCGCAGCATCTGAGACCTGATAGATAGCATGAGCAGCAGCCTCATTTCCATCAATAGCAACTCTCTTTTTTGTGCCAAATTGAGCGATAAAAGCCTTCGGGGCAGTGGAAGAGAAAGCGGTATTAAACCGGCTTATTCCACATACTGCACGCTTTGCACATGTACTAAACATCTTTGACGAGGCTTATATGAATATAGCAAAAGCAATATGGGGTAATTCAAGCAAATCTATAAGAGTATTATCACCGCGGGGAACATGGTAGTTCTTGATACTTTTTGGGGTCAATCGGCTTTGTGAAATCGTGGAAACTATTGTGTAGAATGGGTATTACGATGAGTCGAAATGGGTCTGGACCAATAGTTGCTAAGATGCTTACGAGGCATGCTAGGTTTTGACTTGAATTGGAAGACTCAGAGGGAATGACTCACTCCACTGAAGTGGCGGCATTCTCTGGTTTTTGTTAATCTTGGGATTGCTTCCACAAGAAATACACCTCTTTCACAGTTTTTGTACAAAATAGGAACACTTTTGGTACACTGTTATGAATTGCGCAATGTGAAGATTTTCATATTGTATAGTACTGATAGGAAAATTGATGTCGAAAATTGGAGGGGAGTTGGTGGGATGTTGCTAGGTAATCAAGGAATCACATATTTACAATCGATCTCAAAAGGATTTCATTATATTTTTTATAAAAAAAAGTGGATTCCTTTGCGAGACTGCAGGATGAGACACATTTGGGAGGGTTATTGACTTTTTGAATCAAATATTACTTATTATTATCATTATTATTATTAACGACTATAATATAATTATGAACATCATATCCATTATTATTCCCTCATTGCAGAAGATATGGTCTATTGATATGAATTTGGACCTATTGGATAGACAATGGTGTTTAATAACGACTATAATTCTGAAAATGCCACTCTATCAAGAAACCTGTAGTAATTCACTTATGAATAGATACAAGCAGAAATCCAACTTCACATTGGTTTATTTCTATGTCTTCTGATGATTCATAGTTTGTTATCTGATATCTTAAATATTTGTCAAAACGTAATATACCAAATACTGTTAATTCAAAGCACATAGAGTAAGATATCCGAATATTTTTAAAGATATTCCTGAACACCATCTGGATATTGCCATTCAAGTGATAATAAGAAATTTGATTTTTTCACAGAATCAATGAAGTCAATCCAATATTTCCTGAATAAATGAATTGCTTCCGATTTTGATCGTTTTCAATCGATTCAATCCATCGATTTTGAATGTTTGCACTGATCCAAAACAATCATTGCCGATTTCGATTGATTCCAAATTGTATAACAATGAAACAACCCAATCAACCAAAACACAATTGTCAATCAGTTTCAAATGTTTCATTCCGATATTCAATGGCTTGTTTCCATCTCCTTCATATTCAATATCACATTCAATTCCATTATACCATTCACATTCTTTCACTAAATTACCATATCGATCATACACAATTCCACTTCCAAATCGCTTATCATCACACCAATATCCTTCATATTCAATACATCCATTATTATGATAACTCGTTCCATATCCAAATCGTTTCCAATTGATCATTATGCCCTTGTACATCAATATTCCATCATCATCATACATTTCACCATATTCAAATGGAATTCCCAACTTGTTTTCTGCCAATACCAATCCTTCAAATCGACTTCCATGATCCAAATCCACTATTCCTTCTTCTACTACTACAATGGATTGTTGTTCATTATATGAAATAGCACCAATTTGGTGATTTCCAAACACTTTCAACACGTTCTGCCCATTGAGGACAAATCCTTGATTCATGAATAATCCATTATTGAATTGCAATACTACACGTTATCTATTACTCAATATGAGTGAAATCCAGCCATCCGCATTTAATTCATATTTAGAAGCTATTTGCATTTTATGGATGATGAAACCATTAATACAACAGTTGCTAATATCAGAAACAGTATAATCAGCAATGCGTTGTTTAGATATTGCCAATTATTTATTTCAGGCTTTTTGTTCGGTATTACCCAATGATCTGATGAGATAGCAGAGTGGTGTAGTATTAAGAAACCAATACTAATATGCTGTACATGGTAATGAAGATGTTTTAAATGTTATCTTTTTATGTTCCTTTCTTTATTACCTCCCTTCTGATCGCATCAAAAATCTACATGTTAACATTCCATAGTATATGAAGTACTCCAAAACTGTCTACATAAGAAGAAATATAACACACATAAATGTAATTGGGATATCTAACATATCAACTATTTCAAACATACAGTATGAATTTCTTTGTCTGTCCTATTGAAGATGTTCTTGTCTCCATATCACAGAGACGATACTATTATTATGAACGATTCTAAAACAAAGATATGTTCATTCTTTCAACTATTCCGTGGCCTCCACCACTCCTTGTTCACTTATTCCAAATGAAGCTTCTCCTTCAGGTAAACAGGGAGAATCCACCACTTTACAAATTCGGGTTGTTCCGCGCCCTTTCTTCAATCGTAATCTACACATCATTTCAAACTCACTCCTTTCTTTACCTCGTTGTACTCGCATGAGCCATTATGTTTCCTCCGATCGGCTTCAATGGATCCTTCGCGAACACTCCAGTATCCGGATTCGCCACCACTTGATTTGTTACTACCACCGCTACTCCAAATTCATCTGCCAGTTTTTGTAAACCACGAAGAAATTGAGCCAAGTTTTGTTGACGTGTTGATAATTCGCCTCTGCCTGTGTAATCCGTACGAAACAAGGCTGTTGCTGAATCCACTATCACCAAAGCAAATCGACTCTCCGACATCAGTGCTCCCGCTTGCATCAATAATTGCATTTGATGCTCACTGTTGTATGCTCGGGCATAAGCCACATTATCCATCACATCGTTTGGATCTAGACCAAAACGTTGACTGATTTGGGCAAGTCGTTCCGGTCGGAATGTGCCTTCTGTATCGATATAGAGCGCCTTTCCTTCGCCTCCGCCTTGTTCCACAGGAAGTTGACAGATTACACAAAGTGTGTGACAAAGCTGCGTTTTGCCTGTTCGAAACTCTCCATACAGTTCGGTCAACGAACCTGTTTCCATTCCTCCTCCAAGAATTGCATCCAATTCTTTACAACCTGTAGAAATGTGAATTATGTCTTCTCGCACTTTACTATATTCTGTCGCCTAAATCGATTAGTATATTCGAATTAATATATACATACAGATGTAAAACCCATAGGAACCAACTTGGTAGCAGCTTGTTGAATCTTGATAGCTTTTGCTTCACTAATTCCCTTCACTTCTATTAATTTCTTCATCGTGGTCATTGCTACCTAGATTCAAACCATTTCTAATCCCTCACTGATTCAACTGTGTAATATCCTCCTTCCTGAAGCTTCTTTATATCACTAGCATTGATTCCTGCTCCTTCTAGTTTATCTAGAGGTAACGGTCCGTTTGTCTAGATTTTGGTGGCAAAACCACAACTCGTACTCGGTCCTCAATAGACATATCCTGCATTTGTTCTTGCATTTTCTATTCGATTGCTTTGTACAATATATAAAAATGAAAAGTATTTGTGTAGAAAAAAGCTTGTAAGTAATGCGGATTTGATGCACAGTATTACCAATCAAATGAAAATGAAGGGATTTGAAAGCAGAAGAGTATATTTGAATATAGAATGATGGTGGATGATAGAGGTGGTGCTAGAGGTATGGAAATGAAGAGAATCTAAAATGGGCGGGAAGTACATATGTTCCAAATGTTGTATTTGAATACTTGAAGTGATATAGAACAGAATACTGGAAATAGGATTGGAAATGGAGTTAGTTTGGAGTTAGAAGATTATTGAATAGTACTATTTATAAATTCACTTTGTCATACATCCATTGAACCGAAATGAATGAATAAAGAATCAAAGATTGTGTGTATGAGTGTGTTTGTGAGAGGGTACACTTTGTGTGTGACAGGCACAGTGATAGCCGCAATGATTTCGATATTATTGTCTGCGGAAGGTTACCTGCGTTCGTATGTCTTGAAAGTAGTAATTTGATTCTAGAATATTATCTACGCCACTAATAAAGAAGACTATTGTGATGGGTAGAGGCTATTAAGTTGGTCTAAGTGAAGATGGTCCAATTGATATAGAAAGTGATTATTCTCTGTGTACTTATGATTTTCGTGAGGATCGGTTGTAAATATTGGTGTAAAATGCGTTTATGATAAGAAAGTGGGAAGTAGAGAACCGTCGATTGTTTTTGTTTGGTAAATATATGGAGTAATGCAATTTGTAACAATAATAATAATAATAGATGGAGTCCTCGCGGTTTACCTAGTTCGTTAACATCGTAATAATAGGAATTGCTGATGATATTTAGTGAGGAGTTTAGCAATATAAACGAAATGGATAGTGGGAAGGGATTTAGTCTGTTGTATCTGCGCAATGTGTGTTACGACAGTGAATCATCTCGAATTGTACTATTTGGTAATGAGGTGGACAAGTCTTTGCTGTTTGGGATGATGAAGAGTGAATGTGTGTATTATAATACTGATAATAGAGCTTCCTCGAGATGATTTTTTCGCTGTTGTGGACGGCGTTTACCCCAAAGCCGCCGAATGGAAAGAAATCAGCTCGATCGGCAGCTACATGTTCCTAACGGACGACGCGATGGATCTCATATCGCAGTTTGCCTCGCTGAATTTCCTCGCCCACTTCGCCCTCCACAGCACTCGCTACCCTGCCGTACCGCTTCCTTTCTCCCTCCATCGCAGCTTCTCCACGCCCTTCTTCCCTTTCTGAGCGAAGCCAAAGACTCGGACACCTACGAATATCTCTCCATTCTGCAGTCCTTCTACCCCTCCACGCACGCCTTCGATCTTTTCTACCGTTCCGACTTCCCTTCCGGTCTTTCCTGCTTCCGCGAGCTCGTTTCTCCCGCGATTTTCTCTCATTATTAGACGATCCCCACGCTAATTCGTTATGCGAACGAGGGATCGATCCATCTCGATCTCTACGAAGCCGACACGGTTCGAATCGCCGCGTATCGCTACTACCACATCTACGAGAAGTTCCCAACGCCCACGTCGGCAGTGGTTCTGCACGTGACGTATCGCAAAGACGAGCAAGGCGATGTGGGGAGCATCAGCAACATGGATGAACTGCGCCGATTGTTCCAGCGAAAAGTGGCGGTAGGGACGAAGAGGCGCGGTGAAGCGTAGATTTGGAGGTATGAAACGATCGTGTTGGATGAGGTGAGCAAGGCGAAGAAGCTGCGCGCGTTGTTTGAAACGGATATTTTGATGGGGATCGCAAGTGACTTGCTGGTGAATATGATTTATTTGGTGCCGGGGAGCTCCGTGCTGGCGATCGATCATGCGTTGATGAGCTATTCGCATTTGAATTCGATCGCGGAGCAGTCGCAGCTGTACTTCTTGGAGGTTACCAATTTCAGCGTGCCCATTCCGCAGGTGTGCGCAGATCGGAACAGCAACGTGATGTTTCATGAGTATTCGGAGAGATGCAGGCAGGAACTCGAAAAGCAGCCGGTGTATGTGCAGCCTGGAATGCTGTTGTCTTATTTGCGGATTGCGAAGACGTATACGTTGATTCATAAGTACTATGATGAAAGTGAAGGAAGTTTTGTGAAATGAAATGGTGTGTTATGTGTTTGTTGGAAGAGAAATAGAAATTGGTGAATGTGGTTTATTTAGATACAGACTTTTGAAATAGTTAAAAAAGCACGTTGAAATCTCAAACAAACGTGTGATGGAGTGAGATTAGAGACGATTTTGAGAGGATCACTGATCTTTTGTGTAGATTTCAAGTTTGAAGTTTGTGATTAGGGAAATAGAACAATATTGCCAGGAAATGAAAATGAGTGTTTAGTCTAGGCTTTGGAAGTAAAAAGAATCATATACATTGTGAAGTTGAATATAAAATTCAGAAAGTTCAGAGGATTAGCTAATTCACTGAGAGAAAACAAATCTTATGATGTAGAATAATATTTATATATCTAGTTCTAGATATAATCATTTTTGAGCATATTGGACAAAACCATCTCCATCAAATACCAAACCTCCGATTTGAAAACTGTATTGAAAAATCACATTGTACTATATTGTTAGTATCAACAAGATAATAAAATAGCCTTGTTGCAGGAACTACCAACACTACCAAATATATAATGCAGAATATTGATAGATTGAACAATTTGAAATAAGAATTAGACAAAGTGTGAAGAAAACAATGATTATTATGTTCATTTCTTCAAACTGGCCAAAAATGATGAATCCAACTATATACTATTTTCATTGAACGACAAGACACACACTATTACCATTGGCACTGCAGTTCTCTTTTGTAGATAATCACCTTTGAATAGTATCACCAATATTCCTATTATCATTAGTAAAAGGCATATATGCCTAATGCATTATTTGTTTTATTGTGTCTTAACATCGAATAACAGAACAGGATCTAACAAGACATGACAAGACATGACAATAGAGTAACGGAATAACGTTTTTCATATTTTTCATACAAAAATGAGTATATTAGCAAAACCCAAAGTGAACGCCGGCAATGTTTATATTGACATAACACCTGAAGAAAAAGTTGAATCCACCAAAAGAGGACAATGTTGGGAATACAAAGTGTCTGATCAATTCCCTGTAAAATCCTTTCCGGATGAGTCTGGAGAGGTGGATGTTGAGGTTGGATATCCTCACAGAGGCTACCATATAAAAACGACTTTGAAGAATAAGAAGATGAACGGAAAATCAATTATTATGTCCAGAAATGATGTAATCGTCGCAAGACTGACGTTTGAAAATGGAGTTGCTACGGGTCCTTGTACACTCTATGATGATTCAGGCATGCTGTTTTTCCGCGGATATTTTGAGAATGGATATCGTCAAGGAAGAGGAACAGAGTATGATGAGAACGAAAACGAGATATTCAACGGCTTTTTTAGCCAAGGAAAAAGGCTGAAAATCGAAGCAGTAGCAAACAAGAAAGGCTATTGGAAGGAAGTAGATCATAACAAGAGAGTTGTCAGGGTGTTCAAGAAAGATAATAATGGCGAGTACACTGGAATCAACTACATTTATAACGATGGAAATATCAAGAGAATTAGTAAATGGAAGAATGGGAAAGAAGTGCAGCTCATAAAGCAGTTTAACGGCACAAAAATGATAGAGTACAAAAATGGTCAGAAATGCTACAGTGGGGGATTTGTGAATGATTTGGATGCTGACTATGCAAGGAATGGAGAAGGAGAGGAGTATGATAAGAATGGAAAGACTGTGGTGTTTAAGGGAAACTACAGAAATGGAGTTCGACATGGACAAGGCATGGCTTACAGCAATAATGCTGTGAAATACAAACGAAACTGGATTGCTGGTCATTCCAAACCAGCATTTGTTATTACACTCCTCATTCTATTTGCTTTTGTTATTGTTGCTTATCTGCTTGATATCTATTGCGGTCTCGCTGTAACAGCGATATTGTGGCTACTTTTGTTAATTCGCTGGAAAGCTCCAAAACTATTGGGCAAGAAGATATGCAAGAAAACAGATTTGGAATTGATGGTGGAGTATATTGGAGATAGACTCCCTGTTTGTGAATGTTTTGCCAATTATATCTATATAATTACTATTTCGATGTTCACTCTATTGCTACTTTGTATTGGAATACTATTTACTATGTATTGCAATTATACGAACCCTTACATTAGTATGTTCAAGTCTACCTATATTGTCAAGCCGAATAGCAAGAATAGCCTATCAGGGTTTCAACTATCGAATAAGCCATTCCTCAAGGTAATTAATATTGGAAATGATTGTTTTGCGCGAGTAGCAATATTCCAACTTGAAAAATTAAACTCACTGAAATCCCTAACGATTGGCAGCAATTCGTTCACATTGGAGAAGAACAGTCACGGAGTTGATGATTCAACCTTCTTTAGCATTCGTAACTGCAAGGCTTTGGAATCGATTGAGATTGGAGAATACAGCTTTAGCGATTTCGGAGGAACTTTTGAACTGGCAAGTCTTTCAGCGCTGAAATCTTTCAAAATTGGCGTTCTAAACAGCGATTCATACAACTTTTATGAGATTAAGTCGCTGTCATTTACCGGTACTTGTTTCTTTTCCTGTGATTAGCAGATCTTTCGAGTTTAGAAACCATAGAGTTCGGAGACTACACTTTTGGATTGTCGCTCTCCACTACTCTTTCGGGTATGCCCTCCAAATAATCATTTGATAAATAGACCTCCCAAAACTCAAATCGATCAATCTGGGCTACTTCTCTCTGTTTGGTAAGTGGGGAGAAGAGAAATGCTCCTTGACAATGAAGAGTAGGGACTGAACTTAGAACATTATTTGAATGTAGATCTTCCTGAGCTTGAAACGATATCTACTGTTGGCTATTCCTTGTGGTCGCATCTTCAGGTTACACTGGAGAGTATTTGAATCCGATGGATTATGAAATAGATATTCCAAAGTGTCAAACTGTTATTTTGCCAGATGCATTAAAGTATGTTGTGGAATCATCACTCGAAGTGTTAAGTATTGGATTCCTATCTGAAATGAAAAATAGATGTGAATAAAGCGCTATCATCGATCATTGAGAATCGACAGTTAAGTAAAGACATTAATTTATGTGTACCCCTATCCAAACTAACATTCTTGTCCACTTCAGATGTTACAGTACCAGATGATCAATGTAATTCACGATTACTAAGTATCTTTGATCTAAGCGCTTATAAGTTCATTAAGTCCCTTCAGATCGGAGACACGAATATGTATTATGTTAAAACATTTATGGTACATGGATTACTTGAGCTTAGTAAAATTGTAATCGGCGTAAATTCATTTACGAAAAAAATGAACACTTATGGAGATGATGCTTCTCGATCCTTTCATATAGCAAGCTGTAAAGAACTGAAATCGATAGAGATTGGTTCATACAGCTTTTCTGATTATGCCGGTGAGTTTGAGATGAAGAATCTGCCCTCATTACAATCAATCACTATCGGCACTACCTACAGTACCTCATATAACTTCTTTTGGTCCTCTTTTGTTCTTCAAGGTACTTTCTTTATTTTATGAATGATCCAAAGACTTCCCTAGCCTGAAATCAGTTAGCTTAGGCCAAGATACATTCCGATTTGCGAAGGAAGTAATACTTGAAGGTGTGAGAATGAAGTCGGCCTGATTTTCTAGATCTTCCTAATTTGGAGTCAATCGATCTTGGGGATGATTCAATGTGTGGAAGTGAAGTAAATGATGTGAACATACTCATCATGAAAAGTATGGCAAACAATTTTCAAACTAATTGATACAGATCTTCCTCATTTGACGTCCATCAAAAATACTGACGGAGGTAGTCTCGATCAGCTACATAATGTGACATTGGAAAGTAGTACCATTTTTGCTTTCTGACGAATTAGACATTCCTAACCTTCAAACAGTCAATCTGCCTACTTCATTCAGTAGTGTATTTTTCCAAAGGGTCCATAGTAATCTCTGATTCAATTGTTGAAACTAGATGTTCACCATTTACTCACCGATCTATTGCCAACAGAATCACATAGTTGCAGTTATCTGCAGTCAATTTCAGATTCAAGCAGTTCAATCATTCTTCCGAATTGGTTATGCAATGAAGTCGAATACGAAGAATTTGATTTCTCACCCTTTGCAAACGTGGAATCACTTCAGATAGGAGATAACAGCTTTACTTATACTACCAAATTTGATATTATTAATGCAAACAAGTTGGTGAGCTTAAAGGTTGGAAAGAACTCATTCACACGAGTAAAAAACGATCCAGATGTATCCATTCTGTTTATTGGACGATATTTCTCTATAATAAACTGTGAACAGCTAGAATCCATTGAGATTGGTGAATACAGTTTTTATGATTATCATGATGAGTTCCGATTATCCAATCTGCCACTACTCGAAACTGTACAAATTGGAAATGTTGAAGCCGATTCTAGCAATTTCCTTTCAGCCAGCTTTGAGGTAATGAGTAGGATTAATGCTTTGTTGTTATGTTCAGATCTACCAAGCCTTAAAACTATTACTTTAGGTGAATCATCCTTCCGTATTTCTCCGAAAATTGTGATAGAGAGTAATACCACTATATAATGCTAGATGACTACTGTAGATTTATCCTCCCTTGAAACACTCAGACTCGGGTATAAAGCGCTTTATGGCAAGGATGATTCATCCTGTTCGTTAACAATGCGGAGTAACTCAAATGAAAGATTGCTGATTCTTTGTAGATTTGTATAATCTGACGACGATTAAGTCGGATGGAAATAGCTTCCGGAACCCTCGCACAGTGACATTAGAGAGTAGATCGAAATAGAAGCAGTGATATGAATTAGATATTCCAAATCTCCAAACGGTTAGCCTTCCTGATTCTTTCTTCTCTGTCGTTACAAAGAATATTACCAGTATGCCTTGCTTGCTAGTATTAAGAATAGACGTGAATTACAGACTTTCCAATCTTGTGAACTAATCATGGCTAATAGGTTTCAGAATGTTCTTTGTTGATAAAAAACGATTTTAGAGAGCTGCAATATCATTTTCTTTTTGAGAGATTGGGTAAAATACCACTTCTATGAAGAATTGGTTGTTACAGAGAGATAGGCTGGATTGAATATACATCGATATTGTAGTTTTCCATTCCTTATAACCTGACACTCGAATACTTGCCTGAAACATAGCAATTGGTGTCCAAACTGCCATATCTCCTATTCCCCACTTTGAATAGGTCCGTAAATTCCCAAAGCACAAAAATCAGATATCTTATCCACATTCTTCTTCTTTTAGGGGTGATTAGTCAGGAGAGCATCAATATGCTAAATTCCATAAAATCAGTAGATTAAAACAAGCAAAAAACAGAACATTGAGAGAAAAGCAAATAGAATATAACATGAAAACAATTCTATGGGTATTTTCAGCATAACTACGAGTACAAATAGTTTCAAACTGCAATTTCCAGAATAAGAAACGATGCCAATTTCTAGATAGACAAGGAAATGAGAGGAATGAAAATAGAATACTATCGAATCATTCTGTATAGTCTTTGGTTTTCAGTAATATTGTTTATTGCTTTTGTTTATTTTGGAAAATACTACTTGTGGCTACTGCCAATATCAGTAATTAACAATATGATTTTCTTTTGCTTGTTTTTAAGTATCAACTCCAAAATGAATCATGATCATGACGATCTGCTACATAATAAAATCTATGAACAACAAAATGAGCATCACGTTCTGAGTGTAAATAAGTATATTTATGCCACTTCATTTATTCCACCCTAATATCACTATAAAAGCATTACAGTAAAGAGTAACTGCTTTCCCAAAGTGTCAGAGGTTTACATCAATGGACTCAGTAAACTTGAAAAGTTACACATTGAAAATAACTCATTCACAGCAAGAGCATTTGGATATGGAAGCAATAATTCGAAAGTGTTTCAAGAATTAAACTGTGAGATATTGCAATCGATCAGGTTTGGGAAATGCAGTTTTTACTTATTTTGCTGGTACAATTTAGTTTAAGAATCATCCAAGTTTGGAATATTGAGTGATAGGATTTTAGGACTTGACTTCTAACAATTTTGCTTATTGTTCATTTATAATTCGAAGTACATATTCAATGAAGCTCATATTATAATTTGTAGATCTATCATATTTATAGTATATAGAACTAGGACAGTATTCATTTGCTAATCATTGACTACAGTGATTGAAAGGAATGCTTGTAATAAATACGTTATTTTGAATAGACCTGTTTACTCTCGAAGCCATTATTCTAGGCCAGTATTCTCTTTGTCTAACAAACAATGATTCATCTTGTTCATTGACAATGCGAAGTGGGACTGAGATGAATGATTTGATTCAGTCTAGATCTTCCAAATCTGAAAACTCTCAGCATTTTGGAAACGGGGAATAGCTTACGTTTTCCTCGCTCAGTTACACTGGAAGGTATCGAATCACAGCATGCAATGAATGGTTGGACATCCCGAATCTTCAAAATGTGAGCCTTCCCAAGTCATTTCAATATGTTCTAACAATAGAAATCAAGAGTATTCCATTTCTTTTCATCATTAGAATATAGATATTTCTCCCTTGTTGGCTGATTTAGTGAAAGATACTAGATAGTAACTGAAACACTGCTTCACAGAAAAGAAGGGAATAATCCAATCCGTCACATTCCACTATTTGGATCGTGATCCATTGACTCACCATTTGGCGTTTATTAATGGCAGTAACCTTCCTTCATTTCCGTGTTTGTTGCCAAAACACAACTCTAAATAGTCTGTAGATTGGCTATCTTTGTAGAAACACAGCAAAGATAGCAACACACATTATTTGCAGCAATGCTCGAAATCTCTCTATCCCTTTTCTTCTTCTTTTTCTTCTCCTCCCCCCAATTCTCCGTTCTCAAACAAACACACCCAATTCTATTCTACATTCGTCTTCGTCGTACACCCTCCACATTATTGAAATAAGGATGGTCCAGTGCTTGCTGGCAATCGATTCTTCGCTCCGGATCATACGTCAAAAAACGCTATCATCAACTCCTCTCCCCATCTCTACGCTCAACAAATCCAACGCATTGCTATCCATTCGAGGCACCAACTCGCTCAGCGGACGCGGTTTATACACATTCTGCATCGAGGCATTCCACTCCGGATATGTATTCAACTTCGGCATATTTGCTAAATTGGGGGATCCCAACTTCTTAAAAATCACTTCTCTCTCATCACTCTCGTTCTGTCCGGGGAAGAGAGGCGTGCTATTATACAGCTCTATGCGTCATCTGCACAATGCACATCCAACCAGCGAAGATGCAGCCGCAGCTCCACATGTCCACGCTGGTGTTGTAGTCGCGGTTTCCGAGTAGAATATCGGGGGAACGGTACCAGAGAGTCACGACTTCGCTGGTGTATCTACGTAGAACTTCGATCGAAACCTCACTTTTTCACAGGAATTCCAGAGGCACGAGCCAAACCGAAATCGCCCAGTTTTAACTCACCATCACGATTGATAAGGAGGTTCTGAGGTTTGAGATCTCTGAAAATCAAAAGGGAAGGCGAAAAGAAACCGATGAAGAATGCGATAGCGATGACACTCTTGCAATCCCAGAAGCATTTGGTACATGAATGACTGCTGTGAAAGACATGAGTAGAACGTACTTTAATGACAGGAGGTTCAAGTACCGGTTCTCGATCCAGATATTTACGCAAGTCCTGGTCCAAGTATTCAAAAACCATTGTGAGACAGTTTTCTGTGTGAATTACATCATAAAGTCTAACGATCACCCCACTCCATAGCAACACACCTCACAATGTTGGGATGATGAAGTTCCTTGAGCAATGCAATTTCACGAATGGCCGTACTCGGAATGCCCTCCTCACGCGAATTGAGCCGAATCTTCTTCAACGCTACAATTTCACCTATCCATTATTGTGTATAAACAAATTGCAAACCGGTGACAGTGTCTCTCGCCTGGTATACAACTCCGTAAGTACCTAGTCGATATTCCCTGCAATGTGCCACATACCCTCACCAACCTTATTCAGCTCCTCGTAACGTTGCATATAAGAGTTAAAACTCAAAGAATGTCTGAAAAGGCTGGAATCATGGAATTCCGGAATTTGGTTATTTTTTGGTCTCATATAGATCTGTCTGATTGCAGAGCTTTGTGAGGGAAATAGTTGTCTCCAGAACACAGAATTTGAATTCATGATGTATGGAGATGTCTGTGAATTTAGAAAAAACTTGCAAAGAAAACAAGGCAATATGTGAAATGAATTTCACAGTGGATAGTCAAACATTTGACAGGTTTCTGTCAAATTCTTTGTTCGTGAGAGCTTTTATGGATAAGTATACGACTGAATCGAAAATAGGAAGTGGAGCTACCTCCATAGTGAAACTGGCGAAATGCAAAGACTCGGGTACGAAATGACGAAAGTGGTTCAGAATAGGGCAGTACGTTGTACTGAAGAAGTACATTACCCCACTGTCTCAATTTTCAGCGGATAACCGTCGGTACCTCACTGAAGAAGTATTGTGTGTGACTATCTTGCAAGTAGATATCTATTCTCTCTTCCTTATCGCACCCAAACATCATTCGATATGTTGATCACTTTGTTCACAATGACTTCCAAGTCATTGTGATGGAGTATGCAAATGCCCATTCTCTTCGGTCTGTATGACCCACAAACTCTAACTAACGCATAGTATTCGAAATATCTCAAGGAAACAAATTCCGAGATACCAGTCAGTATATTAACAAGCTGGTTATTAACGATTGCCAATGTTCTGGACTACATTCATGCATCGTAGCATATATATTTTTTATTTCCTAAATCCAAGTCGAATCATCCACAGAGACTTAAAACCTGAGAATATTTTGCTCACTTCCATTCCAAACACGCCTCTCACAGATTCGGAGCGTAATTCTTTCTATTCCCCCTCTCGAGTTCGATTTCTTCAACTCCGAGTTGCTGATTTTGGAATTGCTCGTGAAGCAAGCGATGTATCTTTTTCTTGATTGATTGAAGTAGATGTACGCAATGACTCAGATCGGAACACCCTATTATCTTGCTCCAGAAATATGCCAAAACCGACTATATACAAATAAAGTGGACATATGGTCTCTAGGTTGCAGTACTCTCTCTCTTTTCTTTCATTATCGCAAGTTATATTCGAATTAATGACCGGAAACCCTCCGTTTTCTGGTGCAAGTATCAGCGAACTCTTTCAGAATATCCAGTTTTCACCCGTTCAATTTTAATTCGTGTGGATTATCCACAGATTCCCTCTCTTCCTTCACGTTTTCCCTCCGTGCTTACTCGTCTTGTACGTCAGTTGCTCAGCGTAGATTCAAACTTACGCATTAATTTCACAGAAGGAACCAAACAAACGACCCTCGGCCTTTGAGATTAAATCGATTCTCCTATCAGCTTCCACTTCCCTTTCCAATAAACTATCATCGCACTCTCTACCTCGCCGGTCCCACGACAAACCAATCAAACATCGATATGCCACCTATCCTTCTTCAGGAGAACAAGTGCTCGGGGATATGTCAGAGGATGGAGAAGAGCTAGTGGTCTCTTTGAATGCAGTGAAAGGGTCAGGAATGTTGCGCAGTCGAAGATACACACCCTCTCCTTCTCCCTCTTCTTCGGCTGCTTCTGTTGGTGCCACTTCGGATTCTTCTTCATCTGAATCCGAAGAGTCAGATTTGTCTGTGGAGATGATTGAGACAGATGAGAAGGATGAACCAGGTGATGAAAAGGCTAATTACGAATCACCTAATCTTGATGATCCCAGAGGATTGGATGATGAAAGTGATGTTGAAACGTTCTATTCGCTGTTTGAGTCGTTTGTTTGTTTGTAATAATAATAACAGAGAAAAGGAGTTCAAACATTTGATTCGTACTCTATTTTTGGTGAATGGAATCTTTTGGGGATAGCCTTATAGGTGATTACTCTCATTATAAGAATAATGTCGAAAGTGAGAAAAGGCCTGATCCTTTGGTTGACTCTGTAGCTCACGAGTTTCAGAGTAATAGCCTTATAGCGGAGCCTATTGAAATTAACAAAATAGATGGTAGAATAGGAAGGAATTTTTTCTGTTAGATGAAGAGGAAGCAGCGAATTCTGTCTATGAAACTGAATACGAATCTGTCGATATCGATAAAACACTGAGCGTATCATCGGAAGAAGAAAAGACCAGCGAGAAGAATGTCTTTTCTCAACTCCAGCAAGATAATCCGGATTATCGAAATGACTCAACCGGAGATATGGAGGTTGAAGATAGTTATTCTACAACGCTTTATGATCGACACCAGTCTGCATCTTCATCCTCTTCTTTAAGAAAAAGAGTTGTGTTTCCACAGAAGTAGTCGTGTTGCTGACACCTTACTGTAGAATCAGAGGAGGTTTTCCATCAAGAAGATTTGAAGAACACTTCATGAAGGTATCGTTCTTTGACGACTTTTGCTTTCTTTTGCTTATCATGCTCGTGGCATTGTTAGTTTTAATCGGAGGCATCTTTCTTATTTGCCTCATCAATGTGCTATTTTGTTTTTAGATTCATTGTAGAATCAAACTCTCTCTCTCCGAGATTGCCTCTTCAACCCAAATCTATGTTTTGCTGTCATTTCTGCGGTAGTCTATCGGAATTGGTACAATCCTAGGATATCCGTTCGCTGCTGTTAAACTAATCGAAAGAATTTAATTTTATCGCCTGTTTTGTTTCAATCACATTTCCGCGATTCTTCTCCGAATTTACCTAAGGAATTGTTTCCCTAATTGGGTTCTCCGATTTCTCTTTGAAAGACTATTTCCAGGGCAAATTGAATTTGGATCATGAGTGCAGACGATACGCAGAGACGAATCAAGCAGATGTGCGATTTTATTAAGCAGGAAGCACAGGAAAAGGCAAACGAAATCAAGATCAAGACGCAGGAGGAATTTGAGCTGGATCGTCAGATGCTGACTCAGGAGGGAAAAATGCGTGTTCAGGAAGAATACGCCAAGAAGGAAAAGGACTTGCAGGTCCAACAAAGAATTGCGCAGTCTGCTGAAATTGGAAGACAGACCAAACGACGTATGGTGGCTAGAGACGATCTTCTGAATAAATTGTATCAACTTGCCAGAGAGCGTCTTGCTCAATTGTCTGAGAAGGACGTGGATAAGTACGTGGAGGTGCTGAAGGATCTGATTCTCCAAGGACTTATCAAAATTGAAGAGCCCGATATTGTGGTTCGTTGCCGCAAGGTGGATCTGGATTTGGTGCGTCGCATTATCCCTGAGGTGCAGAATAAGTATGTTCAGATGATGAAGGACGAGTGTGGAGTGGATGTTGTAGTCAATGTGACTCTGAACGAAGATGAAAGCAAGATGTTGCCTCCTCCTCCGAGCAACTCTCCCATGCTTTCTTGCGCTGGAGGTATCGTGATGGAAGGTCACAGCGGTCGCCTGGTTCTGGACAATACGTTTGACAAGAGACTTGAGGTCTGTTTCCATGATTTGAAGCCTGTGACTCGGAAATGTTTGTTCCCTTCTTGTTAATCATTTGTTCCTATTTGTTTGTTGTACAATATCGATTGTTGTTTTTCGTAATGGAGTTATTTTTATAGTACGTAGCTGATAATTCGTTGTGTTTTGAATTGCTAGAAGTGGAGTGCGAAAATAGGCTAGATTAATGGAATTCCACATAGGGTTGGTGATTCTAATCATATCATTTTCAGGAATCATTTGGAAATCATGTCCAGCTCTAAGGGTGATGAACTCATGAAACAAGTTAAAGTGGATTGAGACGATAATCAGTAGGGAGAGGCCAAGTTGAAGAAGTTCTCTTTTTTCAACAAGACCGGAAAGTTTGAGGAGGCAGCTGAGCTGTTCAAGAAGGCAGCGAATCAATATAAGGTATCCCAGTTTTGGCCAGAGGCTGGAAACGCATTTTCTCGTGCCGCGGAGTGCTACCTCCAGCTGGAGCAGAATCACGATGCCGCCACGAGTTACGTGGACGCTGCTGTGTGCATGAAGAAGGTAATTGTGAAGTTTGTGTTTTTACGTAGTCTGACATGGATAAGGCTGTGGAACTGTACGAGGAGGCCATCTCTATCTATTGTGATATGGGCCGCTTCTCGAATGCCGCCAAGCTGGAGAAGGAAATCGCCGAAATGTATGAGAACGATAACCAGCCTGATAAGTGTGTGCAGCACTACCAGCAAGCTGCGAACTACTTCCAGGGAGAGGATAGCGTGACCTCTGAGAACCAATGTCTCCTGAAAGTCGCTCACTTTGAGGCTCTCAGCGAGAAATACGACGAGGCCATTGCGATATACGAGAAGGTGGCGCAAGCCTGTCTCGAGAAGAACGTGCTGAAGTACAGCGCGAAGGGACATTTGTTCTGCGCTGGAATTCTGCATCTGTGCCAGAACGTAGAAGTGCTGGTGGGGCTTGATAGGATGTAGGATATCGTGGCGATGCGACAGGAACTGGAGAGATACAAGGAAATGGATTATACGTTTGGGTCTAGTCGCGAGTGCAAGCTGCTGGAGGACCTCACGAACGATCTGGAAGCGATGAACGTGGATGACTTCACAGAGCATGTGTTCAACTATGATAGCATTTCGCCGTTGGATCCCTGGAAGACCTCGATGCTGCTGCGCGTAAAGAAGATGATGGGTGGAGCTGATGAGGAGGAGGAAGTGAACTTGGCTTAACTATAACCCCCCATTATTGTCGTTGTTTTGTGTTTGTTGAACAAAGGATGAGTGGTTGTCCTTCTCTGTTGCCTAGCCGTTGCTTTCCTGCCCCGCACTCTGATTATCCGCAGTGCAGAATGGAACTGCTTGTTCTCTCAGACTCAGCGGTCCCAGATTTCTCTTTTCGCTGCCGATGGTCAACTTCTCCAGGATTTCTTGATTCAGTTTGGTGAGCAACTCGTAGAGATTTTCATCGTTCATCCGGTCACGATATTGACACTACGCTCATACCCGAGACCATCGCCTTACCAGAAGAAGCCAATAACGCAAAGCCATTTCGCGATAGAAAAGCTTGGCGAAGTTGGACGAAAAGTCGACGATATCTTGCACGCAGCGTTTGTACTCCACTTCCAATTCCTCCTTCGCACTGCTCATCACTTGCGAAAGATACTTCTTCTTCAGAGCAGCCTCATCCAGCGAAGCTTTGCTGCTGTGCTTCCAAAATCGCTTGTCCTTTTCTCGACTCAAGATCGCAGACACTTCAGCACTCAGCTCTTCTCGCAGGGTCGTCATTCGGCTGTGAAATCCTGTGTTCTCGTCGTTAATCTACCTCCATCAGGACGAGCAAACCAACCCATACTTCCAGAAGCGCCTTTCCGATCATCTCACTTTGCGTTGCGATGGTTGATCTCACAAAGACATCGGACCGGATGGTTTCAACATCCACACTCGCTTCCTCCTTCTTGGGTTGACTGTTCTTGACTAAATCATCGAGAGTCTGCTGGAAAGAATCGATTTCGTACTGAATTGAAGACATTCTTTTCACTTGCTCATGCACTCGAATATCGCAAAACAAGTGAATCTTCTTGATCTTTACAGTCACTCCATTCAGTAAAATCGCTACAATCGTCGTGTTTGTCTGCTTCATCACTCCAGAAGCTAAGTAGATTCCGGAGATCGGGAATCCATCAGCATACGCTTCTTCATAAGTTCGCAACAACTACAGGGAAACATTTCATAAAAGTCAAACGTCCCGAACCTGATTCATGAGTTCCGTGAGGATGTCATTGCTCGTTTCGATAGCTAACGTGTGAGCTTTTCGAGCCTTTTCTCGACGTTCTGTACACACTGAATGCACTTCTCGTTTTCTCTATTTTCATAAGCACAAGAAACCATCGATACTTCGAGAAGCTGCTCTTTGACACCGTGACAAATGCGGTTGAATTCCTTGTTGATTCCTCGAAGCCGTCTTTGATACTCTCGTTCAATATCTTTAACCATTCGATGTATTTGGCGTTGAATCTCGTGTTGTTTATCTCGAATACTCTGTTCACCTTCAGTAAGTTTGTTATAATACCGCTCAAGAACCTGCGATCGAATTCTGGAAGCTCGTTCAGGAGGATCATCTGTTCTTCATCTCAAAATACTATTCAGTACCCTTTAATTCTCGGTCTAGCTCTTCTTCCTTTTTGTCTGCCTTTGAGAAACACTCCGCATGATAAGCCTATTGCATTATTTGTTAACGATGGAAGATACTTCCAATTCTTTATCACAGACATCCAGCTGATCAGCAAAACTATCTTCCACAGCCTTTACTTCGTTTTCATACCATTCCTAGATTGAGAACATGCATCTTCAACATTACTTCCAATTCACTAATCTCTTTCTTTCTGTCTTCTTCAAATCCTTTTAGCAATCCCATGTCTTTGCTCTCATTGAAAGCTGATAATCTCATAAAGGCATGAAAAATGAATACTTCTTGAGTCAATATTGTTATTCATCGAGGCCTCCTCCCTCTGACGAATGGCTTCCTGAAGCACCATTGCTACCTTCTTCTAGAGGTAAAAGTGGGAAATCATCCCAACGCAAGATGTCTGTAGCCCTGACTCAACGCGAGCCATCACAACCATTAATTCTGGGGATTCCTCCATCGCCTTTAATGAGGCAGTCTGTGTATTTGAGGCAGTCAACACAGTAGCTGAAATATCAGCAGCACGAGGGACATGCTGAGAAGCTGAAAGACTCTCAACTGAAGGAATCGAGGTGGTGGACGATGTAATAGACAGCTCCATGGGAGTGACAGAGAGCATAGAAATGGGATCTGAAGACTAGATAACAGAATAGAAAAACAAAAACTAGAAGTTTGGATCTGGTTTCGTAAAGCATGCTCTCTGAAGAAGGCACTATCATCGATGAATTGCTCTATTCCTACTTGATTCCAAGCTTGCATCATCCATAGAGGGAATCTGAATAGTAGAGCTCTTGAGAGGATCTTTGGTTTTCTCCTCCATGATTACAACTTCACCAAAATCAGAATCATTGCTCTGATCGTCAAGCATTGCTTTGAATCAGATCGACGAAGGTTTCACCCACTTGCTTCCTTCTTCTCTTTTTTCATTATCAAAATTCAAAACTCTTCGATGAAGTAGAGCTTAAAATTCAGATATGATAATTATCAAAGTGAAAGGAGAAGAAGACGAAGCAGAACGATAATCGAGTTCAATACGTGTTTCTGGTTATTAATAGCGTGCTTAATCCATTAGAATCATCCAATCTGTGGATAAATTGGAAATCGCCAAACAATGTAAAAAAACGTAAACTTGCTATTATTTCTGGAAATACAAAAGTCGAGGATATTTGCTCATCACAATTATTCCATTTCCTTTGTCGAAGTATCATTTTACAATGATCTCCTTTCAATCCATTATCGAACTTGTATATCACATTTTGTCACTTTAGTGTAGATTGATAATGTTCGATTTGTACGCATATTTCCGTACATGTCTTTGATGGTCTACTGTGCATCGCTATTTGTATGTGAGAGTGTTCGCAAGAGTCAGAGGATTAAGAATATGACTTGGATTGAGTCTTTATTTATGTGCTTTATTGGTCAGTTCGGTAGAAACAATGAACGCCGTCTATCGTAGGGGGAACAACATTAGCTTCGTTGTTAATTGGTCAACCTGTTCGGTTTTTGACATCGGATAAGTTGGTCGTTGCCATGCTTGCAGCCTGGTATGCAGAATAAAATTCCTTGTTGACATTAGGATAACTATCTTTTGTCTTCCTTACGATATTGGTCTTAAGCTGTTTCAGAATCCTCTCATTCGAGTATGGTGTGGTGCACCCCTTCCTATTTATCTAGTTGTTCTGCCGCTTCTTCCAGCTTCTCAGCATTTCTTTCTCTGTTACCTCCTACGGAGTCGATTACGTTTTCAAGAGCGACCACCCCAAAGCCAAAGTGGGTTCGTTCTTCTTAGTGAGCGTGTGAATCGCAGGTCTCTCGATGGTGATCGCGACAGGAACGATGTCTGGCTGTGGTGGCGGCGTTTTGCTCCGCTACTACAACCTAATCAATGAAGACTTCACCGTTCCTCGTCGTATGTCGTAGGAGCTTGCTCGCTTTGCTCAGCAGAGTCACCGACGATAACATCGAAACGCATTCACAGAAGCTTCCGCAAGACTTAATCCGTCCCACCTTGTTAGTTTTTTGATTCTGAATGAACCCAAAGCGAAGTGAAGCGAGCCTTCTTCGCTACTCTGCTCTATATTTACTTACTCGATCCGCTGCAATTCATTCGCGGTGGAGCCTTGTTCGATGATGTGCGATTGCTTCCACCCTGCTGATGTAGGCGGTCTGTCGAGTAATTACTTTCCAATTCGTTCTGGTTACGACGTTGTTGAAATTCTTGGGATGGGTACGGAATGGAATGGAATGGAATGTGAAGCGTAGAATGTGTTTGAGAGCGTTTCTTCGTTGTTCCATGCAATCACCAGAGTGCCCAAGGAGATCCCTGCGTTTGCCAGGAGATGGAGTTTTGAGGATATTAATGAGAAATCGAAGGATTTGTAACATGCTGAGTTTGTTTTTCTTTAAAACATAATTTTCTTTTTGGATGAAGCATTCTGCAACACTTGTTTTGACTCTTTTGCTTTGTGTTGTTTTTGGAATCGATTCTGCAGACTGTGAGCAAAAGGGCTTTTCTCCTTCTCTTCTATGTTCTTCTTGTGATAAATTGTCTGCATTCGTCGGAGACTCTACAGGTGCAATTTTGATTATTTGATTCAGTACAGAATTGGTGAATGAGTGCAGAGCGTGCTGCACAGATGATTCAATAGAACAAATCGTAATAACAAGATGGTATAGAGCTAAGGAGTAGAAAAAAGTGGAGAGTGCGAAGCTGAGTATTCATCCCTTTAGTATTGGTGCTTATCCGGAAATCAGAGAGTTTATTGAGAAGTACTCGAAGCGATATACCAATTTGAGCGTCAATGTGAGTTCGATTTTGTTGCTTGAATCTAGAAACGCGCAAATGTTCCTTCTCCACGTCTACAGATAGTCTATGAAAATAAAAAGATTGATGTCGTTGAGTAAATGTGTTATTGTGTTGCTGATGTAGCTTGAGTGGTTGGAAACAGCAGCAACTTCTCGATTTCTGTGATTCCATTTTGTCTAGGGTAGAATAGTTTGTAAAGCATTGTTTGATGGAAACGCAAACACGAATTGGTTGGGTCGTGTTGAATCTGTTTGTAGAAAGAAGACCAAGGGGTAAAGGAGTGAACATGCGTGTGCTATTATGGTACACAGGACACTATTTACGAATATCATTATACATATGATCAACTCACTATAACAAACACCATCTCTTGATCAATCCATTAGCATCCACTGTGTTATAGGCGTGCCTTGATATAATGCACACTGCGATGATTACTGGAATTCACTGTTCGATGTGATTCAATAGGATTAGCACACAGTAATAAAATCAGTATAACAGAAATAGGAGTTTGAAGAATGGCTGTATTTGAAAGTGATGTTTCTACAGACAAACAATGCGATTCGGAGTAAGTCATAGTTGCGGAGTGAAAATAAAAGAATTCAATCGATCTACATGCTTATTTGTTCATATGACGGCTTGAAATCAAGTACCGAGGTTAGAATAAGAAAACTTTGGGGTACAGTGTGCAAACAAGCAATAATAATAGGCTGTCAATAGAATATGAGAATATTGGATTGAAAACTATGTTCAATCTGGAGAAAAAACGATTTGTACAAATAGCCATCGAAATGAACAAAAGGACAGTTACTAAAAACAAAAAGACTCAAATGGAAAACTCTAGAGTCTTAGGGAAGAAACATCGGGAATTACTCCAATTATAAGGATATGAATAAATAATATCTATTCCATAATGCAATGAATTAGAAATTAGTGCTTCACCGTACAAAGCTAATACACATTTGTTGAAATATGAAAAGCAATACAAGTGATAGATTCCTATCGTTTCCATACAAAATTTTGTTGTTTTTGTCAATTGTGCTAATAGCAATTATCATATTGATAGGTTTGCTTTTAAGAATGTGCGGGGGTGTTGGGAAAAACACAGTGGATGGATGGATATCACTCATATTGAGTAATAGAGAATGTGAAGTATTGCAATTCGATAATGGAGTATTCATGAATCAAGGATTTGTACTCAATGAGCAGAAAGTGTTTGGAAATCATCAAATTGGTGCTATTTCCTATAATGAAGAACAATCCATAGAAGTGGAAGAAGGAATAGTGGATTTGGATCATGGAAGTCGATTTGAAGGATTGGTATTGATAGAAAAAGAAAAAGAAGGTAAAATTGGAATTCCATTTGGATATGGTGAAATGCATGATGATGATGATGATGGAATATTGGTGTACAAGGGCATAATGATCAACTGGAAACGATTTGGATATGGAACGAATTATCATAATAATGGTTTGATTGAATATGAAGGATATTGGTGTGATGATAAGCAATTTGGAAGTGGAAAGGTGTATGATCGCAAAGAAAGGCTTATGATTGAATGTGATTGGTATAATGGAATTGAAATTGGAAACATTTAAACAGGAGATGGCTCAGAACCACTGATTATTGGAATGAAACATTTGAAAGAGACTGACAAATGTGTCTTGGTTGATTGGGATGTTTCATTGTTGTATAATTTGGAATCAATCGAAATCGGGAATGAATGTTTTGAATCAGTGCAAACATTCCAAATCGATGGATTGAATCGATTGAAAGCTATCAAAATCGGAAGCAATTCATATACTCAGGCAAAGGAGATAATGAATCGAAATCATTCCACATATTGAATTGTGAATCATTGGAATCCATTCTAATTGGTACAATTGGAAATGTAACACACAACTCTGTAGTTGTTCGTTTGTGATCCCAGATATTGATATTATGCATAATATATGAATGTCTAGATATTTCAAATCTACAATCTATGTAATCTATTAGATATTATTTTCTGGAACTGTGATACTAGATAGTACATGTAAATATCAAATAATAATAGTATTTATTTTTCCAAATCTTCACATAGTCGATCTGCCTGAATAATACCAAAATGCGAAATCGAAATCAATTTCGAGTAAAAACTAATCTGTTACTTCATACATTATATTATGTATGTGCTTCTAATATAAATATAAGTATCATTACAAGTTCAAAAAGTGATTATGGATGGATTGCATTACCTTTGGTATTTTCATTACATGTGATCAAACCCCTTTTTAGAAATGGTTAGTTTTTATTACGCACGCATTATTCTGTTGCTGTTGATATGCTTTCTATTTGCTTTGAAAATCACTTGAAGAGATAACTGCTGTAAGATCTTGTTTACACTAAAAATGTAACGAAAACCATTATGTCCCTGTTGTGAATACTCTCTTCTATTTAGTCCATTACAAATTGCTTTATTGGTGCTGATGCGTATCATCGTTCGATCATTAATTTTAAGGCATTGTTCCATTTCAAATTTAAGAATTTATTTTACAATGGTTATTTTTCATTTGTATTGCTTTAGGAGCTTCTCTATAATATTGAATAGTATATAATATATTGGTTCTTTCTTCTCATAAATGCTTCATTATCTTAAAATCGATTACACAAAGCATTGAATCATGATGGCTAAACTAAACTAATCTAATCTGAGTTGTTATGATAACGATGGAAAGAATAAATCGATGACAAGATTATTATAAAAGAATGAACAAAGAATAATGTAAAAGAATATTAAAAAAACATTTTAAGCATTGAATATACAATAATCACTCAATGGAATGTAGTACGTATATACATGCTATGATTATGCTTCGGTGTTGATTTGAACCAGATCTGCAAGAATGGGAGAAACATCTATGAATGATATCACATCAACCATACAATACTCGAAATTGATTTCGATTTCACATTCTGGAATGAATAAGGTAGATCGACATTTTCAAGATTTGGAATATCTAATTACTATCAGTATTCAATATTCAGAAATACTTTCCAATGTCACTATTCTAGGATAACCGAAGCTATCTCCTCGTGATATAATGGATGTTAGATTTGGAAGATCTACACTCTATCATAATAATCCATTTTCATCATACTTCGCATTACTAACGAACATGATTCGTCATTCCATCTGCCACCAAGTGGACCCCAACCGAGTTGAATGGATTGTAATGATGGAAGATCTAGATTCCTCATTTTCCTCAAAGAAATTCGATACTTTCAATTCGGGTTGATAATGAACCCTCGATCGCGTAAGTACCTAATGTAATGGATCGTAGATTTGGTAGATCTAATCAGTATTTACAAAATATCATATTAATACCTTGAACCACAAACGAACTCCAATAGAAATTGTAATTCTTCATGTCCATTGTACCAATTTCAATGGATTGTAATTGTGGCAGATTCTTCAATTCAAATTGACCTGAGTAATCACTAAAACTACAATCGCCAATTTGAATGGATTCCAATCTCTCACAATTCAATACGTGGAAAGATTTCGATGTATCATTGCTAAAATAGTACTTTGCCTCAGTAAAACTATTCATTTGAATGTAAAGATACTGCAATAAAGAATTGTTCTGAACTTTGAATGTTTTAACATACATAAAGTCTTCATCTCCTATCCATAGATATATTAAATCAGAGAATCGGGATGTTGAGAATTCCACAATAGCTGGATCATTACAAGCGTTATCCATTACATGAACCATATTCACAGTATCTGGCAATGCATTGAATTCCTCACAGCTCGTTACTTCAGTGAATGAAATGAATCCATAAGAATGGTGGAAGTACAGGCTATTGGATGACGATTCTTGCAGCGTGACTTTTTCGCTCACTCCAAATGCACTTTGAATCGTAAAATAGGAATCGTCGTTCCAGCCACCTGTAGCTCCTCTCAATTCGATGATTAATAATTGAGGTTTCATACAATCAGTCAGGATGTCAGTAGCAGTTCCAGTGAAAGACATACTTAAGAATTCAACACTTCCGGTACCATAATAGAATGTCAAGGTTTCGGAAGATAAAGGATTTGCTCCATATTCTCTAACAATTCTGTAAGCAACGAGTCCTTCAGGGCAAGATGGCAAGGGAATTTCAGTAGTGGGGGCTTCAGTAGTGGGGGCTTCAGTAGTGGGAGCTTCAGTGGTCGGAGTTTCAGTAGTGG